GGGATAGGTATTCCTTCGAGCACTTCTACCCAACTGTGGCATCCTTCAGCTTGAAAAATCTATTCACAAATTATCTGCTACAATGGATCAAACTGCTGATGATATTGCAATGGAATGGCTGCTCAACAAAAGTCTTTAGATTCCCTATCTAAGGTTGTATAAGACAACTGAATAGTTCTTGACTTTATTTTAGCCAAACAAGGTGGAATTTGTGCCACTGCTAATATCTCCTGCTGTACTTAGATAGAAGGAGTGCTGGTTGTGCAGCGGTTAAGTGCTTAGCTGCTAACCAAAAGGTCAGCAGTTGGGACCCACCAGCTGCTCCATGGGAGAAAGATGTGGCAGTCTGCTTCTGTAAAGATTACAGCCTTGGACACCCTATGGGGCAGTTTTGCTGTCCTCCAGGGTCCTATGACTAAAAATTGACTAGATGGCAATGGGTTTGTTTTTGGTTTGGTGCTTGGATAAACACCACAGGAGAAGTAGAAACAAGATATTAGGAAATTCATCAAAGGCCTACTTGGTTGCATTCAATCCCTCCCATGCCTGACTATCCCTTCTTAGATATCTTTAGTTGGCTACCCAGTGGCATTAGTTCATAGTTGTGCTCCATATTGCCAACTAGATTAAATAGTTTAACTCTTGTAATTATTATTGTGTTGTTGCTGTTGAGTCATTTCTGACTCAGTGATCCTATGTAAAACAAAATGAAACACATCCCAGTCCCGTGCCATCGTCACAATTGTTGCTGTTTGAGCCCATTGTTGCAGCCACTGTGTCAATCTATCTCATCGAGGGTCTTCCTGTTTTTCCCTCTAACTTACCAAGCATGATTTCTTTCCCAGGGACTGGTAACATGTCCAAAGTACATGAGATGAAGTCTCAGCATCCTCATTTCCAAGGAGCACTCTGGATGTACTTCTTCCAAGACAGATTTGTTCATTTTTCTTGCAGTCCATGGTATATTCAATATTCTTTGCCAACACTACAATTCAAAGGCATCAATTCTTCAGTCTTCGTTACTCATTGTCCAGCTTTCACATGCATACGAGGTGATTGAAAATATCATGGCTTGGATCAGGTGTACCTTAGTCCTCAAAGTGACAGATTTGCTTTTCAATATTCAAAGTGGTCTTTTGCAGCAGATTTGCCCAATGTGATGTGTCATTTGATTTCTTGACTGCTGCTTCCATGGGCATTGACTGTAGATCCAAGTAAAATAAAATCTTTGACAACTTCAATATTTTCTCCATTTATCATGATGCTGCTTGTTGGTTCAGTTGTGAGGATTTTGTTTTCTTTATATTGAGGTATAATCCATACTGAAGGCTGTAGTCTTTGATCTTCATCAGTAAGTGCTTCAACTTTTCTTCTCTGTCAGCAAGCAAGGTTAAATGTAGTATGAAATGCTTATCTAATTCTTGTAGCCAGAAAGGAATTCCCATTGCTATGCAGAGAGTTATGTATTTTGAGGGAATTCATAATATAAAGTTTGTACAGACTCATGCTGGTCTTCCAGGACTGAAACATTGGAAGACAACCCTTTCTCATTCCCCAGAGTGTTGTGTCTTGACTTTTATTGAGTTCAGCCTGAATATGTCCCTTCCATGCGGCCTTGTCTGCTGCACTAATCCTGACAAAGTCAACTCACCTTGAAGATGAGACCTCTTAACCTAACAAGGTGAAGAAAAGGTCCTGACCATCTAAAACCCTTGGCTAAAACAAACAGAGTCCTTGCAGAAGAAAGGTTACTCTATTGTGGGTGATCAGCATCACCTAGTGAGGGTTTGATCAAAAGGGGGAATGTGCTAGCAAAGTTTCAAAATTGAGGCATTCAAGCTGGGCTTACAACAATGGGTTAAGTCCACACCACTTCTGGGTGAGCAGGGGAGGGGTAACCAACTAATTTAACCATTAGCAGAAACGAAAAAAGAAAAAAGTCAAATAAGAATGTTCCAGGAAGAAGTATGTCAAGATTGTTCTCAGAAAAAATGTTTGCACAGGCTGTTCTCAGGAAATGTGTGACAGAAATAGATTAACAGATATAAAGGAAGATTTTTTTTTTCCTCTCTTGGTTCTGCAAAAAATGTATATAAAAATCCTTCCTTGCCTGACCTTGGCAGGAGCACTTTGTACTTCCCCTTAGTGGTGCCCAGCTCAAGCTGTCCTATTTCTTCAATATAACTCTTTATCTAAATCTTTACAGAGTAAGGATTTTGAATTATGCTATGACACAACTTACATCAGAACTGATTTATGATGGAGTCGTCAGAACAGAGAACCCTGTCGTAAGTCAGGGACTACCTGTATTGGGAAACTGAGAAGAGTTAAGGTTTGGGTGAAGATTGTACAATTCACACAGTGGTTCACAGTTGCCCTAGCAACAAGATCTCCAAGTTACTGTATGATGATGAGGGTAAAAGTCTAAGTAATATAGTAGTTAGAGATGAGGGTACAGAGGCTCTAGTTAGCTTCCCTGCGGATGAGAAGTTTGGGAGAAATCTGTGCATCCCACAAAGACATGTTATGAAAGAAGCATGTGACTTATCTTTAACAAGGTTAACTTGAACATGTTTGTAGGGAGAACTTCTAGATACTGCTCTCCCACTGACTCTGGTAAAGTCAGCGGGAGGGCAGCGATTCTCATAATATGTTCCCCAGAAATGAAGCATCAGCATCGCCTAGGAGCCTGTTAGAAATGCAGATTCTCTTGTTCACTAATTGTAATCATGTCCTGGAAGGAGCTCTGGGCTAGAAAAGGTAGATGCTCACTTCACTGATGTCTTGTGTAGGGAGGCTTGGGTTTGAGGCAGTGTATGCTCTTGCTCAAACTGTTTATCCTGCAGTTCTTATTGCCCTGGAGGGCAATAATACTCTACCAAGAACCTTGCTTTCCTTTGCATACATCGTATTGTTTAATCCAGCAAAGCTGGTAAAGTAGGTATTATTAATCCATTTTACAAGTGAGGAAACAGGAGAGACTGAGTAATTTGTCTGAAGTCATGCAGCTAGTAAATGTTGAGGTAAGAATATAATCTAAATCTAAAAACTCCATATTCTCAAAACTACACAATAGCAGATTTTGGATGGATGAAGGCACTTTATTAGGCAATGTAATGGTTAAGATTGTGTATCAACTTGGCTGGGCCATGAGTCTCAGTGTTTTGGCAGTTGTGTGATATTGTGGTCACTTCCCTGTTGAGATTTGATATGTGATCATCCCCATAATGGGATCTACTGTGAGTAGCCAATTGGGTGAAGGGGAGTTTCCTTGGGCTTGTGCCTTGCATTGAGTGTGGGTGGATGTTCTGGCAGGGCTCAGGGGGCTTTTGCTCGTTCTGGATCCTGCAGCTGGCTCCTGTTCATCTGACCTCCGGTTCTTGGGACTTGAGCTAGCAGATTACCTGCCGTCTGGCATGCCGATTTTGAGATTTGTTGATCTTCGCAAATGGTGAGCAACATCCCTGCTCTCCAACCTGCTGATCTTGGGTTCGCCAGCCCCTGTGGCTACGTGAATCAGGAGAAACCTCTATCCTGACCCACGGACTTGGGACATTACAGCCTCTACAACTGTGTGAGCTATTTCCTTGATGTAAATCTCTCTCTCTATATATATTTATATGCTTTACTGGTTTTGCTTCTCTAGAGAACCCAGCCTAAGAAAGACAATAACCTATTTTATTTGCTTAGGTTTCATAGTGTCCTTTATTTTAGTAAGAAAACCAGGGACACTGCTGCCTTAAAGTGTACTTCAAGATTAGGTTATGGTTTTATAGTTTGTTTTGTTAGGAATTAACTATTACATAAAACTGTGACTTCTTATGTCGGAGAACATTTCTATTTATTTATTTATTTATTTTTGAGGAGTGGGGAGAGAATAAAGTTATGATTGGTTTTCAGAATGGTACAGAAAAGTGTTGGAATAGATTTGACAAATGTTTGATTGTTCATGTCAACTAGTCTTTACAGAAGCTCAGCAAGTGAATTTGGAGTATGTTCTGAAAATTTCCTTTTTTTCATAAAATTTTTTTCTTTTCAGTCCTAAAAATAAGCCTACCACAGGGATCACAATAGAGGGACCTGGGCAGAGTAGGAGAAAAATGTAGAACAAAATTCAGATTTACTAAAAACAAACAAACAAAAAACTCAGCCTTGCTGGCTTGACAGACTGGAGAAACCCCAAGAGAGTGGCTCCCAGACACCCTTTTAATTCATTACTGAAGTCACTTCTGAGGTTCATCCTTCAGCCAAAGATTAGACAGGTCTATAGGGCCAACAATAACACCTGTGAGGAACGTGCTTCATAGTCTAATCATGTATACAAGACTAATGGGCACACCAGTCCAAAAGCAAAGACAAGAAGGCAGAAAGCAACAGGAAAACTGGACAAATGGTAACAGGGAACCTGAAGTGGAGAAGGGAAGAGTGCTGACAAATCCTGGGGTTGGCAACCAATGACACAAAACAATTTGTGGATTAACTGTTTAATAAGAAACTAATTTGCTCTGTAAACCCTCACCTAAAACACAATTAAAAAAAAAAAAAAAAAAAAAAAGAGCCCACCAGAATCCTATTCAATCTTTAGTTCAAAGAGAAAAAAGGTTTTGTAGAAATGTAGGGAACCCAAGAACCTGATATAATGGAATAAAAGGAACTCATAAGTAGACTATTTTGCAAAAGTCACATGAAAAACAGATATTTTAATTGTATAGGTGATAGAAGAATATATGATAAACCTTTGGGTTATACAAACTGGAAAGAGATAAAGGATAACAATAGATGGAAGAAAAGAGTGAGCAAAGATAATATGAGAGGGACTTCATTGTTCTGAAGCATATCAAAGGATTTCAAAAGAAATGCCATGAAGAAAAGTCAATAAATTAAGACTAGTTTTGCTTATTGGCCCGAAAGATTGTAGAGAAAAACTTCCCCAAAGTACAATTTGCTTTTCCAGAAGTGTACTCTATGGGATATTCTTTTTCTCACTTGTTACTACATACCAGTTACTCGAAGTTTATCTACACCAACCACAACTTCCTTTTCATCAGCTGTAAATAGTGGCTTGCCATCCTTAGAGTTGATCTGAAACTGTTGACTCTGGACTTCCACCATTTTGGGACCTGAGGAATCAATTAAAACAGTTCATTACAAAGTGTTTACTATATGCAGTTTTGAAATCTCTATTTTTACACAAGTCATATCACTCAGCAATGCCAAGTTACTAAATATTTAGTATTTGTTACCAATAATTTTTTTGATCCTATGATTATATTGTAAATTTTAAACCTAATATATCATTAAATGAACTATATCAAATATATGTATGAATAAATTATTTAAAAATTTGCTTTTTTCAGGTTTTTAAAACTTGCCAAAAATAATATAATTCTTCTACTCAGATAATTTAAATTCACATAATTTAAATTAACCAACTAAGGATTTTGCATCCTGAAATGAGAGATCTGGGAATGACCATTTTATGAATGACTCACTTTAATAGATAGCTAAAGTTAACCCAGAAGGTGTCCATCAACAGATGAGTGGATAAACAAACTATGGTACATACACACAATGGAATACGATGCAACAATAAAGAACATGGTGAATCTGTAAAGCATCTCATAACATGAATGAATCTGGAGGGCATTATGCTGAGTGAAATAAGTCAATCACAAAAGGACAAATATTGTATGAGACCACTACTATAAAAACTCGTGAAAAGGTTTACACACAAAAAGAAACAATCTTTGAAGGTTACGAAGGAGGAGAGGGGTGGGAGGGGCAAACACTAAATAGACAATAGATAAATCGTAACTTTGGTGAAGGGTAAGACAGTACAAAATACTGGAGAAGCCAGCACAACTTTTCCAAGGCAATGTCATGGAAGCTCCATAGATACAAACTCTCTGAGGGACCAAATTGCTGGGCTGAGGGCTTTGGGGACCATGGTCTTGGGGAACATCTAACTCAACTGGCATAACATGGCTTATAAAGAAAATGTTCTTCATTCTACTTTGGTGAGTAGTGTCTGAGGTCTTAAAAGCTTGTGAGTGGCCATCTAAGATACTCCACTGGTCTCACCCCGTCTAGAGCAAGGCAGAATGAATAAAACCAAAGACACACGGGAAAGATTAGTCCAAAAGACTAACAGATCACAACTACCACAACCTTCATCAGACTGAGTCCAGTATAACTAGATGGTGCCCGGCTACCACCACTGACTGCTCTGATAGGGATCACAATAGAGGGTCCTGGAGAGAGCTGGAGAAAATTGTAGAACAAAATTCTAATTCATAAAAAAAAAGAAGACCAGACTTACTGGTCTGACGGAGACTGGAGAAACCCCAAGAGTATGGCCCCCGGACACCCTTACAGCTCAGTAATGAAGTCACTCCCGAGATTCACCCTTCAGCCAAAGATGAGACAGGCCCATAAAACAAAACGAGACTAAATGGGCACACCAGCCCAGGGGCAAGGATGAGAAGTCAGGATGGGACAGGAAAGCTGGTAATGGGGAACCCAAGGTTGAGAAGCAGAGAGTGTTGACATGTCATGGGGTTGGCAACCAATGTCACAAAACAATATGTGTATTAACTGTTTAATGAGAAACTAGTTTGCTCTGTAAATCTTCATCTAAAGTACAGTTAAAAAAAAATAAGAGAGAAACGAAAAAGAAAAGTTAACCCAGAAGATGGGTTATTCTTATATTCTTTCCTCTGCCCTTATTCTCAGAAGAGATTCTCACTTCTTACTCCATGGAGAAAACACACATCACCATGTAAAACCACTCTCTAGTTTCTGCTTTTCCCATTACATGAAGCATTTTTGTCTTCTCCACTCCTTTCTTTCATCTCAGTGACAGAGGTATCACTTTCCCTGCCAAGATTAATCCTTTCACCTGAGCTTTAGACCCATTGCCTTCCAACACATTAGTTTATTCAGCAAATGTTTAATGGATGCCTACCACATGCCAGGCACTGGGGATCCACTGTTCTCAGGAGATTATGAGATCAGTTTCTGATCCCTCTCATTTATACACTCAGCTATAAACTGATTCCAGGCATTCCTCATTTATGTCTCCTAGTTTCTCTTTGTGGTTCCATTCTTTCTAACCCAGGCAGAAGGATTAATCTCTCTGGAATACAGCTTTCATCATTTGCTTAAGGAACTACAAAAACCAAACCAAACCTGTTGCTGTCAAGTTGATTCCAGCTCATGGCAACCCCATGCGTTACTGAGTAGAACTGCTCCATAGGGTTCTCTTGACTGTAATCTTTATGGAAGCAGATTGTCAGGCCTTTCTTCCACGGTGCCACTAGGTGGGTTCTAACTGACAACCTGTAGGGTAGTAGTAGAATGCAAACTGTTTGCACCACCCAAGGACCTCCAAGAAACTACAAGAGTTCCTTAATTATTTATATTGGCTTTATATTCTTATCTAGAAAATGATATTTTTCAACTGAAAAATGGATCATATCTTATAATTTTCATGTATATATTCCCGTGTCCCTCACAGTATTCATTAAAATTGATGGGTACCTAGTAGAAATTAAATAAAACATTTTCAATTAATGTATTGATCAGTTTGGACATTATCGCATAGGTATTTTTATGTGATTACACTAATTTGTATTGAGGTACAAACCCTAAATATATATATTTAGAGAGGCAGTTTTAAAGGTAGAACTCATTTTTTCCTTTATGTTTTTATCTTCTTGCTCTTCAGGAAGCCTGACTCTATGTTCTGATAGTTGTATATATTTTTCCTCCTTCAAGCTTTTATGAAGACAGAGATTCAGCGTTCCTGTTTACCTCTTCTGGCTTTTATGCCTGACATGCTTGTTATATAAATTCTGATCTGTATTTAATGATGAATATAATTTTATCTGAGCATAAAATTGAGAGAAAAACCCAAAGAATTTATCTAGCAAAGTTAACTATTTTGCTCATTGGAAGTTTATGCAATGAGTCTTGTTGTTGGTGCTGTCGAGTTGATTTCCACTCATAGTGACCCTATGTGACAAAGTAGAACTGTCCCACAGGGTTTCCTAGGCTGTAATCTTTACAGGAGCAGATCGCCAGGACTTTCTCCTGTGAAGTCACTGGCTGGGTTTGAACCACTAACCTTTTGGTTATTAGCCAAGCACTTAACCATTGTACCACCAGGACTCCTTACAATAAGTCTAAGAGGCTTTATTAAGTTTTCAGGGTTAAACTAATACTGACTAACTTTTTTGTATCTATTATTTCATATACATTAAGGAAACATTCAATATATGAATTCAGTTGCATAATGTTATGAGTAGCAAAGCTATATAAATTCTTCTATGAATCAAAGAAAATGCAGGAAGATGAGTCCATTCTATTCAACACAAATGCATTCCATGCTTTTTCTGTACAAGGCTCTGTGCTGCAAACTGAGGATACAAAAACCAGTGAGATGTAGCTCATGACTTAGTCCACAAAGGAGAAAAACATATACACCTAGTTCCAGGACAATTTGATAAATGATGCAAATGGGAGTCTTTGTGTGGCACAAATGCTTAAGCACTAGGCTGCTAACCAAAATGTTGGATGTTCGAGTCTACCCAGAGGCACCTTGGAAGAAAAGCCTGGTGATCTACTTCTAAAAAACCAGCCACTCTTGGAGCACAGTTCTACCCTGACACACATGGAGTTGCCATGAGTTGGAATTGACTAGACAGCAACTGGTTTGTGTTTGTGTGCGCATGTGTGATACAAACATGGACAGAGCTCAATAAGAGATCCCACAAGGAACTCACAGTCCATCCCTGGGGGTTAGAACTTCAGCCTGGGGAAGATAATGTCTGAGCTGACCCCTGAAGAAGGAATTCCTATTCCCCTGGTGAAGGGAAAAAAGGCATTCCAGGTTGAAGGAATTACTTGATAAAAGGCACAGAGGTGCCTTCTTTATTTTATTTAAAAATTATAGACATTTAATGTTTAATTTATATTTAATATATTTTCCATTTCAGAGGAAATTGTACTGTTCTCCAGGTAATAAAAAGCCCACAATCACCTCCTAAAATTGTTGAGTTTGTTATTAATTTCTTCACTTTTATTAACATTCCATTGGTTTTCATTAACTAGTTGGACATTGATTAGAGTTGAGCAAGTAATCATCTTCTGCAGTAGAGATCCTTAAGAAATAAAATTCAAATTCTACCTTGGTGTTAAGAAAAGATATCTGGTAAGATACAATTTTTAATGAAAGTCTTTGATGCAAATAAAGAAGCAAAGGTTAGTGATTTTATCATCCGATTAAGTTTGTGAAACTGGCTTAAGTGTTTTTCTGGTGAAAATACCATCAAATTCTTCCTTACGTACAATATGCCTCATTAATAACCTTTTTTCTCATTATATCTTTAATTTAAAATACCATCTTTTTCTTTAAATAAAGTCACAAAGTCCTTTAAAGAAGGAAAGAAGTATTCTGCTGCTGCAAATATAGTATTGTAAAGTACTGAACTGTAATCACAAAACTGTGTTTAAGTCTTTGCTATAATACTTTTTAGGCGTAATTTTATATTATTTTAGTCCATAAGCCTGGCATTAATTAGTTTTACCTGTATAGCCTAACTATTCTTTAGGTCAATCTGTTACACCCATGACTAATAAATTCACAGACCTATGACACCTCAGAAGAAAGGCCTGGAAATCTACTTCCAACAACTCAGCCACTAAAAACCCTATGGAGCACAGTTCTACTCTCACACACATGGGGTTGCCATGAGTCAGAGTCAACTTGACAGCAACTGGGTTTTTCTGGTATAAGACAAGCAAGGACTCCAGTACTATTCACAGCAATTGCCTTGAATGAATCTCCTTTTCTTGGAGCCATATAGGTAAAACCAAACCAACTGTTGAGTTGATTCCAACTCATAGCAGTATAGGTAAAGATGGAGGGAAAGAATTACAGGCAGAAGAGACAGCAAAGAAAAGGTTTAGAGGTGAGAGAAGTCATGGTGTGTTTGATATTCAAAAGAAGCATGATATTCTTTTCTAGTGATTGGTCTTTCCTAAAAAGCCCTGGTGGCACAGTGGTTAAAGCGTCCATCTGCTAACTGGTTGGCGGTTGGAACCCACCAGCTGCTCCGCAAGAGAAAGATGTGGAAGTCTGCCCCTGTAAAGACTTACAGCCTTGGAAACCCTGTGGGGCAGTTCTACTCTGTGCTATAGGGTTGCTATGAATCAGAATCCACTCAATGGCATTGGGGTAGGGTCTTTCCTAATGACTTGTCCAAAGTAAGCAAAATGAAGTCTCTCTACCCTTACTTCTAAGGAGCATTCTGACTGTGCTTCCTACAAAACTGATTTGGTGCTTCTTATGGCAGCATATTCAATATTCTTCACCAACACCACAGTTCAGATAGTGTCAATTCTTCATCGATATTCCTTTTTTTATTGTCAGCTTTTGCATACATATAAGGCTATTGAAAACACCATGGCTTGGGTCAGGCACACCGTGGTTGTCAAAGATATATCTTCGCTTTTTAACACTTTAAAGAGGTCTTTTGAAGTCGATTTTCCTGTTGCAATAAGTCATTTGATTTCCAGACTGCTGCTTCCTTGGGCATTGACTGTTGATCCAAGTAGAATGAAATCCTAGACAACTTCAATTTCTTCACCATTTATTATGATGTTGTTTATTTCACCAGTTGTGAGGTTTTCTGTTTTCTTTACACTCAGGTGTAATCTGTATTGAAGGCTGTGGTCTTTGATCTTCATCAGTAAGTGCTTCAAGTTGTATTCAGTTTCGGCAAGCAAGGCTGTGTTATCTGCATATTGCAGGTTGTTAATGAGTCGTCTTCTTATCCTGGATGCCATGGTCTTCTTTATATAACCCAGCTTTTTGGATTATTTGTTCAGCATACAGATTGAATAAGATGAAAGGATACAACCCTGTTGCACACCTTTTCTAATTTTACACCACACAGTGTCCCCTTGTTCTATTTGAATGACTGCCTCTTAGCCTATGCACAGGTTCCGCATAAGCAGAAGTGTTCTGAAAGTCCCATTCTTTGTAATGGTATCTATAATTTGTTATGATGCACAGGGCCAAATGCCTTTTTGTAGTCAATAAAACACAGGTAAACATCCTTCTGGTATTATCTGCTTTCAGCCAAGATTCATCTGACATCAGCAATGACATCCCTTAGTCCATGTTTTCTTCTAAATCTAACATGAACTTTTGGCATTTCCCTGCAGCCAGTCTGGAATTATGTTCAGCAAAATTTGGCTAGCATGTGATATAAATAACATTATTTGATAATTTCTGCATTCTCTTTGATTACCTTTCTTAGGAATAGGCACAAATATGCAAATATGGATCTCTTCCAGTTGGTTAACCAGGTAGCTCTCTTCCAAATTCCTTGGCATAGACAAGTAAACATTTCCAGCCTTGCATCTGTTTGTTGAAGCATCTCAACTGGTATTTCATTAATTCCTGGAGCTTTGTTTTTTGCCAGTCCCTTCAGTGCAGCTGGAACTTCTTCCTTCAGAATCAGTGGTTCTTGATCATATGCTACCTCCTGAAATGGTTGAAGAATGTCAACCAGTTATTTCTGGTACAGTGACTGTGTATTCCTTCCATCTTATTTTGATGTTTCCTGTGTTATTCAATTTTTTGCCCATAGAATCCTTCAGTATTGCAACTTGAGGCTTGAATTTTCTCTTTGGTTCTTTCAGCCTGAGAAATGTCAATTGTGTTCTTCCCTCTTGGGTTTCTAACTTCAGGTCATTGTGTGAAATAAAATTATAAGTTTTGCTTATGAAAACAGAGTCCTTTTACCCACAACACTAAAGGTCATCTTACTAAATGTTAGAAATCTATGTGCTGTATAACCATAAATATATCATTTTAAAGCCTATAACTGTGCCTTAAATTATAACTAAACTTTAGAAGAAGCTTGTCTTGTATAATTGTGTGTCTAGGTGATCAGGATCACTAAAACACTTGAAACTTATTTTTTCAGAAAACAATTGAAGATTAATGAACATGTCCTGTTTTCTACACTCCAGAGGTCTTGTAATCATGGCTCACTGAACTTGTGATTGTCTTAGCAAGGCTTCTATTTTTCTGTACTTTATAATGTTTGAGCCCATACTGCTCTCTTACATGATTTGTATTTCTGATGTAATCATCATCCAATCAAAAATTTTTGTTCAAAGTTCCTGATAAAAGTATATATATATAGTACTTTAAAAATCTTAATTAATCAGAGCACTGGTTTACTTGATAATGATGTGCTGCCTAACTTTAAAGCTGTCTATTAAACCTGCCAAACAATCTGTTAATGGTGTTGTGAGTTGTTTACTCTTGATAATTGTAATACTTCACCTTGTTTTCTTCAGCTTCCCTTTGAAATCTTCTGTTCAGCTCTTTTACTTCATCATTTCTTCTGTTCCCTTTAGCTACTCTGTGCTTAAGAGCAATTTTCAGAGCCTCTTCTGACATCCATTGTTATCTTTTCTTTCTTTCCTGTCTTCTTAATGACTTTTTACTTTCTTCATATATGATGTCCTTGATGTTATCCCACAACCCTTCCAGTTTTCAGTAATTAGTGTTCAGTGCATCAAATCTATTCTTGAGATGGTCCTTAAATTCAGGTGACATGTATTCAAGGCTGTACTTTGGTGCTCTTGGATATGTTTTTATTTTCTTCAGCTTCAACTTGAAGTTGCATATGAGCAATTTATGATCTGTTCCATAATCAGCCCCTGGCTTTGTCTTGACTGATAATATTAAGGTTCTCAATAATCTCTTCCCACAGATAAAGCTGATTTGATTCCTGTAGAATCCATGTAGTGAGGTCCATGTGTGTAGTCAGCATTTGAGTTGTTGGAAAAAAAAAAAAAGTATTTCTGGTTAATAAGTCTTTGGTGTTGCAAAATTCTATCATGCAATCTCGGGCATTGTTCCTATCACCAAGGCCGTATTTTCCAACAACAGATCCTTTTTTCTTTACAACTTTTGTGTTCCAATCATCAGTAATTATCAATGCTTCTTGACTGCACATTTGATCAATTTCAGATTGCAGCATTTCATAAAAATCTCAATTTCTTCAACTTTGGTATGTTGTGGTTGGTGCATATATTTTAATAATAGTGGTATTTAACTGGTCTTCCTTGTAGGTGTATGGATATTAAGCTACCACTGACAGCACTGTACTTTAGGATAGATCTTGAAATTTTTTTGACCATTAATCCAATGCTGTTTCTCTTCAATTTGTTTTTCCCATTATAGGAGACTATATGATTGTCAGATTCAAAATGACCAATACCAATCTACTTCAGCTGGCTAATATCTAGGATAGCAATCTTCAAGTGTTTCATTTCAGTTTTGATGACTTCTAATTTTCCTTGATTCATATTTCATAAATCCCATATTCCATATTCCAATTCCTAATGAATGTACTTTTCAGAAGCAGATTGCCAGGCTCTTCCTCTTAGTCTGTCTTCATCTGGAAGTTCTACTGAAATCTGTCTATGGGTGACCTTGCTGGTATTTGAAATACCAGTGGCATAGCTTCCAACATCATAGAAACATGCAAGCCACCACAGTATGACAAACTGACAAATGGGTGGTGGTGACAACACACAGACATTCAATAAATGTTTGTTAAATGAATGGCAAAAAATGGACAAAACATTTAAAAGGTATACTAAAATTTTTTAAGAAAGTATGGTAATGATAAATCAAATATTATGTAATTCATCAAGAAAATATGATTTGATTTAGACAAGTTTCAGGAACTTGTCTGCTGGATACACCAAGGTTCATCTCTAAATTCACTGAGAATTTGATTGGACTTACTGATCAAACAAAACTTCTAAACAAAAGAGAAATGCAGCTAGATTTTTGCACTAAATTATAAAGATTAACATAGATAAAATATTTAATCTCTTGTGTTAGTATAATAAAAAGGTATTATTAGTTAACTTAGGGCTATAGTTTCTAATGTAACATTATTCTGTTTTTATAAAAGCATCCATTAAAAAATACAGACACTAAAAGTTACCTGCTGTGTTAGCAGAGCAATTCTCATCTGTTCTCTCATAATCAGAAGGGCCATCCAATTTCCTAGACTGAGAAAATCTATAGAGTATTGTACGTGTAGAGAATATAGGCAGATTCATTTTATCAGCTACTCTGCTGTTTTGTTTATTTCATCTCTCTTCTCTCTCTACTTTGCACTGTGTAAGAAATGTTTATGGCATTTCGGTTTCTTCCGGTCACCCGTTAGATTCCATGTGTCCTCACTCCTGTGTGGCTTTAGCTGATTGAAAGGGTGTCATACCTGACCCAAAAGCAACTCATTGAAAACATAAGTAGAGCTAATCAGAGTACTTTCTTGGGAACTTAAAATTTGCAAAATTGAAAACTAAAGTTATTGGTGTTGGAAACTCTAACCAACAGATGAAGAACAGTGAGGTCAAGTAGATCATGTAGGATCAGAACAGATGCAATCATAACAGGCATGTGAAAGTGAACGGGGGAAAGATAAACTACAAAGGAGAGTGGAGAGAGAAGATGAGAGAGAAGAGGGAGAGAATGAGAGAGAATGAGAACGAATGTACACTTTTTGCTCCCAGCCCCTGATCTTTGCTCTCTTGAGGCCAACAACACTTTAGTCCCTTTCTTTTAGTCTCTGTGAGATTCCTCTGCATCTGCAGTAAACACTTTGTTTCTTGTGCTGACTTGAATGGTACTGTATTTCTTAGAGCCAAAACAACTTTGCTTGAAATACTCCAGACTGTCCCCTGTTGTGATAACAATTCTCTGAGGTCAACACAGCATGATATTTAGAAAATTCATACTTTGATTTTTCATAAACAACAGTGATTTATTTGGAAGAAAGATAAAATGTATTCATTAAGCATGTCTATTTATGGAACACGCACATGCCAAGCACCTCGATTCAATGTGACTCACCCACTTTTAATCTGCCTGTGACCTCTCCTTCGGAGTTGCGGGCATTCACAGTCACATTCTGAGTTGATTGCAGAAGCAGAGAGGAGTCCTATAGCAAAAGGATTGATAAAGTTAGCAAAATATACGCTATTTAAAATGAGTCTATCTTTATATTTGTACATAAATTTAGGATTTTTATAAACTAATCTCTCCATAGTTGCAGAACCTGTGATCCTATAAATTTGTGGCTAAAACTATAAGAACTCATGGACAATATTATGTTAAAGGTGTGAACATATTAATAAGTTCCTCCCATAAAATATAATAATCCCGTGGGTTTATAGTGCTTGTGCACATTGGTTACAATGTGCCAAGTCAGTTCTCAAGGAGAAAATCGCATACAATTAAGTTTCTCTTCTTTTTCAAAAAAATTTATTTACTTCATTGTTGTCGTTGTTGTCAATATACACAGAAAACAGACACCAATTCAACAGTTTCCGCATGTACAATTCAGAGACGTTGCTTACATTCTTTGGGTTTTGAAACCACTCTCACCCTCCTTTTCTAAGTTGTTTCATACGTTTAAGTTTTAATCAATGCATTTTGTTTTCCAAAAAATTAAAAGCTCAGTTTTGTTATTTATGTCCAGGGTATGACATATTTTAAGATATATCTGAGAGGTTATCTCTTCTACAAGAAATACCACGTTATTTTCAAAATGCAAAGGATTCTCATAATTTCAAAATAATTGTTAAAATTTGCAGGATATAATGCCTATGTTTATTTTTTGGGATTTTTTTTTTTGTGCTTTAGATGAAGGTTTACTGAATAAACTAGTTTCTCATTAAACAGTTAGTACATATATTGTTTTATGACATTGGTTAACAATCCCAAGACATGGTAGTACTCTCCCTTCTCGAACTTGGGTTCCTATTACCAGCTTTCCTGTCCCCTCCTGCCTTCTAATCCTTGCCCCTGGGCTGGTGTGTCCCTTCAGTGTCATTTTGTCCTATGGGCCTGTCTAATCTTTGGCTAAAAGGTGAACCTCCAGAGTGACTTCATTACTGAGCTAAAAGGGTGTCCGAGGGCCACACTCTCAGGGTTTCTCCAGTCTCTGTCAGGCCAGTAAGTCTGGTCATTTTTTGAGTTAGAATTTTGTTCTACATTTTTCTCCAGCTCTGTCCGTGACCCTCTATTGTGATCCCTATCAGAGCAGTCAGTGGTGGTAGCTGGGCACCATCTAGTTGCACTGGATTCAGTCTGATGGAGGCCTTGGAAGTTTTGGTTTATTAGTCCTTGGGACTAATCTTTCCCTTGTGTCTTTAGTTTTCTTCATTTTCCCTTGCTCTTGAAGGGGTGAGACCAGTGGAGTATCTTAGATGGCTGCTCACAGGCTTCTAAGACCCCAGACGCTACTCACCAAAGTAGAATGTAAAACATTTTCTTTATACACTATGTTATACCAATTGAGCTAGATGTTCCCTGAGACTATGGTCCCCACAGCCCTCAGCCCAGTAATTCGGTCTCTCAGGGAGTTTGGATTTGTCCATGGAGCTTCCATGACCCTAACTTGAATAAGTTATGCTGGCTTCCCCAGTATTGTGTACTGTCTTACCCTTCATCAAAGTTGCCACTTATTTATTGTCTATTTATTGTTTTTCCACCCCCACCACTCCCTTCCTTCATAGCCATCAAAGGGTTTCTTTTTGTGTGTAAACCTTTCATGAGTTTCTATAGTAGTAGTCTCATACAATATTTCTCCTTTTGTGATTGATTTATTTCACTCAGCATAATGTCCTCCAGATTCATCCATGTTGTGAGATGCCTCACAGATTCATCATTGTTGTTTATCACTGCGTAGTACACCATTGTGTGTATGTACCATAGTTTGTTTATCCATTCATCTGTTGATGGGCATCTAGGTTGTTTCCAACTTTTTGCTATTGTGAACAATGCTGCAATGAACATGGGTGTGCATATGTCTATTCATGTGATGCCTCTTATTTCTCTAGGATATATTCCTAGGAGTGGGATTACTGGATTGTATGGTATTTATATTTCTAGCTTTCTAAGGAAGCACCATATCGTTTTTCAAAATGCTTGTACCATTTTGCATTCCCACCAGCAGTGCATAAGTTCCAATCTCCCCACAGCCTCTCCAACATTTGTTATTTTTGGTTTTTTTGATTTGTGCCAGTAAAGCCAGGGTGAGATGGTATCTCATTGTGGTTTTGATTTTCATTTCTCTAATGGCTAGTGATCATGAGCATTTCCTCATGTGTCTGTTAGTTGCTTGAATGTCCTCTTTGGTGAAGTGTCTGTTCATTTCCTTTGCCCATTTTTTAATTGGATTATTTGTCTTTTTGTTGGATTTTCCTGTAGATTTTAGAGATCAGACCTTTGTCAGATTTGTAATAGCCAAAAACTTTTTCCAGTCTGTAGGTTCTATATTTACTTTTTTGGGGAAGTCTTTTGATGAGCTTAACTGTTTAATTTTTAGAAGATCCCAGTTATCTAGCTTATCTTCTGTAGTTTGTACATTGTTAGTTATGGTTTATATCCTGTTAATGCCATGTATTAGGGATTCTAGTGTTGATCCTATTTTTTTTGTCTGATCTTTATAGCTTTTGGTTTTATATTTGAGTCTTTGATCCACTTGGAATGAGTTTTTGTGTATGGTGTGAGGTATAGGTCCTGTTTCATTTTTTTGCAGATGGACATCCAGTTTCGCCAGCAAAATTTGGTAAAAAGACTATCTTTTTCCCATTTGATGGATTTTGGGCCCTTGTGATCAGGTGACTGTAGGTGGATGGATTTACATCTGGGTTCTCAATTCTGTTCCATTGGTCAATGTATCTGTCATTGTACCAGTACCAGGCTGTTTT